GAAACCCAATGAGAGAAGAAACCACATTTTGTACCACGCTGGTATTCTCAAATTACCCAACACAGTGCTGAGCACATAGTACTTATCCAATAAATGTTTACTGACCAGATTGATTATACTCAATTGGGAAGAATGGCACTTGGGAAAAGAAAACCTGGATTCCAGTCCTAGCCCTGTAAATAAATTGTCTAGCACTTAGAGGAACTCGGCCAACTTCTCCAGGTCTTAATTTCCCTCCTTTGTGGATCATGGCCTCTAAAAGTTGAGGGTCCCATGGCCCATGTCGCTTGGTGACTCCATTGTTCTGATTAATGCTTTGCATCTAGGTCACGCTGCCTATCAGTGTCACTAAAGGGAAATAAGTGCACTTGACCTCTAGTAACACTTTGCCCACCAATGAGCACTTTGAGCTTTTTCAAAACATTTAATTTCCCTGGCATTCCACCTATAGAAGCCTTTTTAGCCAAAAATTCTATAAATCCATGATACTGGCATACTGAGTTACAGTCTCTCTTCATTCACCTTATAATTTCTAATGAGTTTCAGGAAAATATTTGGCTGAAAATAGTACCAAAATTACTGTTAAACATTGGAAAGATCAATTCATTAAGCAACATACCTCTGCATTCATTTATTTCTCCCAAATGGAAGACTTTATCTAAAATGTTCAATCAATGTTCATTACCTTTGTTGGCTCACTTAATAGAAACATAGTAATGTTAGCTTCCACTTCATTTAGAAAAATTCCTGGACTCCATTGGACTACCATTCCCCAAAAGGCACACTGGTGATGCTGCTGCACTAATAATTTAGACAAGCCACAAGCAAACACTTCAGAAAGTTTAAACAAAGCTAAAAAAAAATTCTGATTTGCTCTATAGAATAAAAAATGTGATGTATGCTTTCAAATAAAACAGACTTGTTACTAAAAATATTTACACACAGACCTACTGATAATCAGTAGTTTAACCAATCAGAGTTTTAATAATAAACACGATATTGTTAGGATCTGTAGACAAGAAAATGAATACAGGTATATTAACTGCATTCTTGTATGCATTTATGTTTGGATGGATGAATATTTATCTACCTGTGCATTCATTCCTTCAGTAAGTATTCATGGAGTTCTACTAGGTGTTAGACACCTGTGAGCTAGGAATGGACAGTGATAAGATAAAGCCCTTTCCCAGGAGATGTTCCCAGTCTAATGGAGAGTGAAAACGTGGAAATAAGTACAGTGTTCTGTGATATGTTCTCTGTTAGAGGAATACCCAGCATGAAAGAAAAGAGAATGTAGTGTCTTGTGGCCTAGAAGTAAGAAACATTAGGTTTAGACTCCCCCACAAGGACCACAGATTTTGGAATCAGACACAGGCTATAGAGCAGCTATGTGTGAAATAGTGAAAGAAAGAGACACTATTATCAAAATGAGCATACAACAGGGAGGAATGTACAGTTTAGAGAAAAAACAAGTCTTCTAAAAATGCGAACTTAAGTTGTTACTATTTAAACTCAATAGACTGGTTGAGCATACACAGTAAAGAAAAAGAAGAAAATGGGATATGTAAAGGCAGAATGTGAGGTGGAATGAGAAGGTCTAACATATGTCCAGCAGAGGAACGGAAGACGATGTTCAGCAGTATCCTGGCCTGCACCCATTAGTACCCTCCCTCTCAGTTGTGAACATCAGTCTTCAGACGTTGCCAAGTGTCTCTGAGGGACACAATGACCCCAACTGCGAACCATTGCCATAAATATTTCATGAGGAAGGAAATTACTGGCCTATTTCACTCATGGTTATAGGTGTACAAATCCTAAACAAAATAAAATGATAGTAAATAAAATGATAAAATCCCACTGGATATTTTTCCTAAAATGCAAAGATGGTTGCATATTCAAAAAGTTATAAATATTATTAACCCACATTAATAAATTAAAGAATACTCTTATGTACTTTATATAGAATATATAAATATACTTATATTCTTGTATACTTATATATTTATAAGTATATAACTATACTTATAAATATATAAATATTTATATAAATAAATATTATTAATAAATATTACTTGTATATTTATAAGTATACAACTATACTTATATACTTATAAATATAAATAAATGTATACTATATATATATACAATAATGTATACAATATATAAAGTGCATAGGTTATATACATATGTGTCCAGTGTCAGGCAGTTCTTTCTCCTATTTTCCTTTTTAATTTATACCCTATAATAATCTATCTGCAATGTGAATTAAAACCCATGATTTAAGTTCAGTACTATGCCTGAGAGATGGGGACACTCATGTAAACTTAGCTAATCAAGAAGGCTTCTCTATAAGTTTATAGGTCTTTAGAGAAAAGGTTAAAGAATAAGATTAGCTAATAAGGTCATTTACAAATATTTCAATTCCACTAAATGGTAGACTCTAGATTTATTTTAATGTACAACAAATATCTACTAAAATGTTGATCTGTATTTTAAAAAGCAATTTGCAAGTTAAATTCAATTTATATTAACACAAAGAAAAAGTCTGTTCAAATGACTGTTTAATTCTATGTCTGTAGCTTTCAACACAATGGTCTTTGAAACCGGCTGACCTTTACTGTGAGCAACCCAGTGAATAAATACGAAGGACTCATTAGTGCACTCACATGAATTGAAATGCTCATTTGTAGTGGCTTTCAAATGCACTCAATTTCAAAATGACCTCTGTTATATTTTATTTAATTACCTATATAAACAAATCTGAGATCATTATATGTTCAACAATCAAGCATGCTGAATCTCTAGCATCACCATGTCCACCGAATAGTCATTTAAAGATATGAAATGGAAAAGATGCTAAGTATGACACTGACGGAGGTTGTTCATTACTGGCCGGTTGCTCCATTCTGTACCATCATCCCCGGTTCTGCATCTCAGTAACTAGGAGGTCAAAGTTAACTCACTGTCAAATTCTTGATTTTCACAAATACTGACCTTGTCCTTATTTATTTTGTACAAATAAACATCAGCTAAATAAAATCATGGAAATCACTTCTCTAAATAGTTTGACATTTATGTGAAGAGTAACTTCAATAAAATATTATATAATTGCACATAAATGAATTGGATATAAAGTTTGTCATGTCTTATCAACCTAATAGCTACTACAAAAAGAATAACAATTGGCATATCTGACATTGGCTAATTTCTGTCTGGGCTCTTCAAATATGTCTATAATAATGGCAATGATGATAATAGCGGTTCTCAGCTGAAAAGAAATGAAGAGATCACTGTCCATCAGGAAAGGGACGTGTCACGACAAACAATCTTCTCATTGTGTGGATGTGCTTCAGTGGTCATTGTCCTATCTTTCATTTGGACATCCTGGGGTCCTTGACTCCTTTCATTCTCTGATACCGAATCAGTGTTGGGAACACACCATTGTCAAACAATCTTGTTAGAAAAAAGACTATCTTACTTCCCAGGAAAAGAGCCTGGGTGAATTCAGGGCTTGCCTTTATAAATGTATATATACCCTTCCTGGCAGAGGACTTTGCTCAGGATGAATCCTGTCTCAGAAAGGCCCAAATGCAGCAGAACTTGAACATCTGGCTGCCTACCTGGAACCCTCCCTGTGGCTGCCTGCCAGAGCCTTTCTAGAAAGACTAAACCCCTCTCCTTCCTGAGAATCTGTTACTTACTCCAGCCTGCTCACATCTACAGCTTGTCTTGTCCTGACAGTCCCAATCAAACCCATAGCCCCAGCCCCAGCTGCCTCCAGCTGAATGTCTTTTGTGTGTATTGTTTTCTCCTACTGGCTTACTCACAAATGCCTTATCAGGAATAGACACTATCCCATGAAAAGATGAATACAGTTTTGTAAGGTCAAAAGAAAACCATAGTTAGAATAAATGAATTCTAAGTGATCAAATACAATGCTAAGCATTTTGATAACATGAATAGATAAGAAAACAGTTAGAAAGGTCCAGGGGATCCTTTTAGTGCGTATTTCTCCCCTTTCTGAGAACAGGAGAAGGAAGCAGTCTCTGACCCACATTACATTCCCAATATGGGCAACAATTGAGTTCTTATGTGAGAGTACAATCCACAGTTACCATCTGAATGCCTACCATATGCCACCGCATTGTGAAGTGCTTTGGATGCATTATCTTATTTAATTCCTACAGCAGCTTCTGGGGGTTTGGGAACTACCATCATCCTCAATTTTACAGATGAGGGAAGAGTTTTAGCAAGATTAAATAATACACCCAAAGTTACATAAATTGTAAATGACAGAGCTGAGACTCAAACCCAGGCCTCCTTGCATCCACTGGATTTGTCCCCTTGCCATATGGCCTTCAAATAGCATTCTGTGAAGTCCCAGCTCATGTTTCAGTCTTCACTGCTAACCAGTGAACTCCTTCAGGGCAGAATTTATTTCTCATTATTTTTTATATCAGAGCATGAAAGAATGTCTGATGCAGAACAGAAACTCAATGGCTGTCAAATGAACAAAATGATAAATTAATAAATAAAGGAAGGAAGGAATTTTAAAGATAAAAAATTGAAAATTGAAGTTTGTAAAAAAAAAAAGCTAATTCTACACCAAGAATATAATTTCTGTGGTTAGTTTTGTTCCCCTCCATTTCCATTACAGCAACATATGAGTATTTTATGATAAGCACCATTTTTACTGTAGAATTAAATAAAGTACTTTCAAAAATATGTACTTTTCAGGGATTTAAATGAATGAATGAAATTCCATAATCAGAACATGACACAACCAAACCAGCGTATAATCATATGTTTCCTATAATAAGCTACTTGAAGTGTTCTTAGGGTTACAATTTTATAATCTAGACATGAGAGGAAGATCTGTGCTCTTGACAATGTTCAACACAGGGACTGCAATTGGCTCTGGATAAAAGGCAGCCCCCTTGTCTGCATTACACAGATGTGCTCCCTTTCCTTATCAGTAAGCAAACAGTCCAAACTGCTACCTTTACATCCTCTGCCATCTTGCTCCAGCTTCTGGCCAGCATGACACCTGCAGTAGTAACTGCCAATCGTATTGCAGCATTGGTCTCGGCAGCCACCGTTGTCCACGGCACATTCATTTATATCTGCAATTACATGTTTGAACAGGATTAGCCTCCTAAAAACAGACACAAAAGGATTTTAGTGGCTCCCTTAAAAATGTACCCTTATAGAGTGACATCATTTTCTGACCTCAGATTAAATTGAATAAAACTATAACATCTTATTTTAATTAGAACTAATGACTCTAATTAAATGATATGTTACTTTGTCCAAAGCCGGGCTGTGCAACTGTTGAGGTAGCTTTTGTTTGTTTTAGGTAACTTTTCACTGAAGTGTGTTATATACACAAAACAGTATACAAATCTTAAGTAGATAGCTCAATGAGTTTTCAGATTTAGACTACACCAATGCAACCCCACAAAACACAACAAAGCACTTTACTAGCACCCAAAGAACACCCTGACTGGCTGATGGTGACAACTACCCTGCTCATTAATCACTACAGGTTAGTTTTGTTCTTTCCAACTATATATAAGTAGAATCTTATTTTGCATTTTTTTGTGTCTGGCTTCTCTCATTAGGCATTCTGCTGATGTGATACATACATATTGTTGCATATACTTGGAGTTTTTTCATTCTTATTCCTGTATACATGGTGTGGCAAAAGCAGGCTTACAGTTGTGGGTACATGAAACACAGAATTTATTCTCATATTATTGTTTATTAATTATTGTATTATTTTCCACATGAACAAGTATGAAACTACTTTTGCCACACCCTGTATTATTCAATTCTATAATTATACCACTATTTTAATTGATCTATTTCACAATTGGTGGGAATTTGGGTATTTTCTTATCTTTGGTTATTATAAAAAGTATTGATATGAACATTCTCATAAATGCCTTTAATAAACTATGTATTTCTGCTGAGTAATATCTAGGTCTGAAATTTCTGGGACAAAGTATTATTATATTTTCTGCTTTATTAGTTATAATCTCCTAAAGAGGTTATTCTAATTTACACTCCTGTCAGAGGTGTATTGGAGAGCAGATGCTACTCATCTTTGCTAACATTTGGGATATTTTATTTTGTTTCAGTTTTATTTTTCTGAGGAGTGTATAATAGTACCACTGGTGATTTCAATTTTCACTTTCCTAATGATAAATTAGGGTAAGCACATTTTCATGGTATTGGCCACTTGGATAACATCTTATTGAAGTGCTCATTCAAATATTTTGTACATTTGTCCAATCTTCAAAATACTGGTTCTCTTGTTAGTAGGTCATAGAATGGCCCATAGAAGTGGTGGCGATGATCATCCTTGTCTTGTTTCTGAACGCAGAGGGACAGTTTTAACATTTTATTGTAGGTATGATGTGTACCATAGTTTTTTTCAATATGCTGGTTTCATGAGATTAAGAAAGTTCCTTTGTACTCCAAGTTTGTTAAGTATTTGTATCATAAATACATGCTAATTGTATTTACTGATTTTTCTGAATCTATAAAGATAATTATATAGTTTTTCTTGGTAATTCTGTTAACAACATTGCTTTTTTTCCATCCCTGTAAAACACCTGGTCATGATACACTGTGATTTTTATATATTCTTAGAGTTTGTTAACTAATATTTTGTATAGGATACAGATTTTGTAATATTTTGTAATTTTTATAACTATATTCAGTAGAGAGATTTGCCTGCACTTTTTCTTTCTTGCAGTATTCGTGTTAAATTTTGGCATCCAGGTCATAATGGATGTGTATAACAAATGGGGAAGTTCTCCCTCTTTTTATATTTTCTGAAAGAATCTGCAAGGTTGTTGTCATTTCTTTTAATTTTTTTATATTCTTTTTTAAGACTTTATTTATTAATTTTTAGAGAGGGAAGGGAGGAAGAAAGAGAGAGAGAGAGAAACATCAATGTTCGGTTGCTGGGGGCCGTGGCCTGCAACCCTGGCATGTGCCCTGACTGGGAATCGAACCTGTGATGCTTTGGTTTGCAGCCCACGCTCAATCCACTGAGCTACGCCAGCCAGGCTTTGGTTGTTGTCATTTCTACTTAAATGTTCGGAAGAGCTCATTTATGAAGCCGTCTGGGTCTGAGACTGTGCATGCGTGCGCATGTGTGTGTAAGCTTTTAATTGCCGGTTCAATTTCTTGAATAAATATGCAGATTTTCATTTAAATGTGGGGATAAATTATGTGTTTCAAAGAATTTGTCCATTTTGTATAAATGTTCTGATGTATTGTTAAGTTGTTCACAATATTCTCATGGTATTTTTAATATGCCCAATTTGTAGTGTGCTCCCCTTTCTTATTTCTTAAATAATGTGTCTTTTTTTTATCAGCTTTGCTATCTATATCTATCTATGCATCTATGTATCTATGTATCTATCTATCCATCTATCTATCTATCTATCCATCTATCTATCTATCTTTCATCACCTTCATCTTTTCCAAGAACACGCTTTTGGCTCTATTGATTTTTCACTATTCTTCTTTTTTTTTTTCATTTAATTAATTTAGCTCTGTGATTTTTTGTTGGGAACTGCCCTGACTGGTATCAGAAGCTGAAACCCCCCACCTAGCTAAGGCTAAGGGAACGCCCTTGGAACCGTAAGCCAGCAAGGAGACAAAAGCTTATCTTCCTGGGAGGAATGCTGCTTCTGCTGCTTTATTCATAACTGAACCCCAAAAAGCTTGGTCGGTTAGCCAAAGACGGGTAAGATTCCCCACAGGGGGGAATGACCTAAGACAGGCACGATCACTTTGGGAGGCCCCCCAAAAGAGGACTTGGGGGGCTGCAGCAAAAGGGGGTGATGGACCCTCGCTCCTCGGCTTTGACATAGCCTGAGTTCTCAGCGTCTGGGAAAAAACCTTGTCTCCCAGTTGCCTTAGTTCCCTTGCTCCACCTAAGCCTGAAACAATGACAGGGTGGTGCAGCTCTGTGCTGAGAAGTGCGGATTCCCCGGGGTGATCAGGCCTAAGAAAGAACATGTAAATTACTGTGAAACCTTCTTTGTTTAGAATGCTCTTAGTTGAATGATAAGGGTCTTAGGAGGAAGTTATTTTGTTCCTCAGTCTTACAGCTCTTTGACCCCTGACTCAATAGACCGGCAGAGTTCTTTGTTTTCTATGGTTCCTTACTTCCCCCTAATGACTTCTGTACTTTACCTGAATTATTATGCAGAATGAGCCTAATAAAAGCAGGTATGGACAGTAAATCAGCGCGCTCCCCACTAGGGGGGGTGGCCATTTCGTCCCTACTTCCCCACAGAAACTAGTCTGTCTCTGTGCATGTCGTTTTTTCTCACGTGTTTATCGTCGAGCCATCCACAGCATTCCGTGGTCACTGCTGGCCGGTGACCCACGCACAACAATTTTTATCCTTGCCTTCCTACTATTTTATTTGGATTCCTTTCACTGCTCTTCTAACATCTTGAGATAGAAATTTAGATCATTGATTTTTAGCCCTTCTTCTTTCAAAAGATTTCTGGTTATCTCTAAATGTGTAAAAAACCACCCCCAAACTAAATGCCTAAAAAGACAATTTATTGTTATTTTTCAGATTTCTGAGAGTTGACGGGCTCCGTTGGGTTGTTCTCAGCTGGCGCACCACATGCAGCAGCAGCCTGGGGGCAGCTGGGGTTGGACTTTCAGGTAGGCTTTTTCGCCGTATGTTGGGATTGGGGCTGAGATGGTCGGAATGTCTGGGGGGTTAATTTGGGCACCTCCCTCTCACTCCACATGCCTAACTTTGACTGTTTCATTGTCAGGTGGTCTTAGGGTGGAAATATTTTATACGATGGCTCTCATTCCCCAGAGAGACCATTCTGACAGATCCAAACAGGAGTTGTAAGACTTCTTATGACCACACCTTGGAAGTCACACAGCAATACATCTTACTACCTATTGGGTAAAGCAGTCATAGGCCAGCTGAGATTCCCAGAGGTGGAGAAATTCCTTCCCACAACTGCAGTATGAAACTGCAGTGTCCAGAGAAGAAAGAAATTGATGACAGTGTTCATGGAGAGAGCATATCATACTATTATGTTCATTTAGGTCTACACATTTGCCTAAAAATAAAGTATTAGCTGCACCCCACAGGTTTTACTTCAATTATCATTCAATTAAAAATATTTATTAATATACATTAACACTTTTTCTTTGGGTTATTTTGAGATATAGTTTGGAGGTTTTATAAGCATTTGAAGAACTGTCAATCATCATTTTATGAAATGCTAGATTAATTCCTTTGTGGACAGAAGATATACTCTGTGTGAGTTCAATTCTTTAAAAATTTTTTGAGGCTTGCTTTATTTTCCAGCACATATTCAATTTTGCTTTTAAAAAATCTATGCTTACAGAAAATAAGATGTATTCTGCAATTGTCAAGTGCTATGTTTTCTGTATATATAAAGTATATATGCACATATATTATGTGCATGTAGTATATACATATGTATATATATTATGTTGGCCAAAAAGTTCATTTAGTTTTTTCTGTAAAATAAAACACATTTTCTATTTTCACCAATAACTTTATTGTTTTGGATATTTTGATTATGTCAGCTATCTCCACATGGTTTAACATTGATTGTTCTCAATGTCTTGATTCGATCGCTATCAACTTCAACGGGTCTACACAATTGTGGAGCACGGTCCAGTGAGAAATCTCCAGCACAAAACTTCGCAAACCATTTCTGACACATTCGATAAGTCATAGGACCTTTTCCATACACTGTGCAAATCTTTTCTTGCATTTCAGCTGCATTTTTACCTTTCTTGAAATAATAAAGGTTAATATGCCAAAAATGTTGCATATTTTGTTCCACCTTCAATATTAAAATGGATACACAAAATTCACCAATTTTGATAAGTTGTTTTCAATGAACACTGATATGATAGCTATCACAATACAATCTAACAAAATTGTTTTGAATGAAGTTGAAGACAACTAACAGCTATTAGAGCTATTTTATGAAATAAACCAAACATTTTGGCTAAAACAATACATTTGAAACATGTATAAAAATGTATATTTAGTTAGTTCAAATTTGTTAATCATGTTTTTCATATCTTC